TGCCTTGCTTCAGGCGTTTGCCACCTTGCGCTGGATGGTGAATTCCAACAGGCAATGACTGGTGTCGCTGAGGTGGTCAAGCACCCACAGACCCCTTACCAGGTCATCACCCGTGGCCAGCACCAGATCCAACAAGGTGTCTCCCCTGTTGGGGCTGTGCATCTCCTGGGTTAGATGGAGGTCCTGTATCTTGGCTAGGAACCTACGTGAGCGGTCAGACCTGGCTGACTGCTCTTCCCAGCAGATGTCTGGAAAGTTCAGGTCACCCATGATGACCATGTCCTTTGACCTAACCACCTCCGTGAGCTGACTTAAGCATTCCCAGTCTAGCTCTTCCCTTGGTTGGTTGGTCTGTAGTAGACCCCCACCGTTAAGTCCCTTTCCCCTCAAACTCCTTGTAATCTAGCCCAGAGCACTTCAGTGTGCCCCTCCTCTGACCCAGTGCTACTCGTTGAGGATGTGTATTTCTCCTTGTCGTAGAGCACTATACCCTTTCCTCCCTGTCCTGTCCCTCCTGTACAGCCTATAGCCCTTGATATTCACCGCCCAGTCATGTGTTGGGTCCCACTATGTCTGGGTTGGTGTTAGCTAGCAGGAGGGTAAGTTCCTCCTGCTTGTTCCCCATAGTACGAGCATTAGTGTAGAGGCATTTGAGAAAAATGAAGCCCGAGATGCTGGGGTATATCTTGAACATTAGGGAGAAAGTACCAAATAAAATGCATGTGAAGAATAAGGTACTTCAACATTATTAAACAGAAGAGCATGAGGCCAGGGGTAATACACAAGGTGAGATCCAAAGCCTGGATGACAGAGCAGAGAAAGTAAGTACAGTTCAGGCTAGATCATTTCACCGATAATAGAATTTACAAGGTCTGAGAATCTTTTAAATTCCGACCCACCTGCATGGGTCACACTGGCCCAGTTCAGGAGGCCTCCTGCACCAGTATAGCACTATGCTGAAGAGGGGCAATCACCAGTAGACTGGGTATTTCAGAGGTATCTCTAGACCTAAAATTAATGGTAGGCAAGGAAATTTTATTGTGGGGAAAGAAACGTCAGGATTCACAAGCAGAAACCCAGGGTGGGCACTATTTGAGCCTTTAAACGGGCGTGGGGCATCTATATGGGGGCAAGCACCAGTGTGGGGTGCATGTGATATTGACCACACTTAAAGCCTGATGACTTAGGCTTCATGAAAAATAAGTGAACTTCACTCTCTGCTCATCTATGAGGCGACTTCTAGGTGTTCAGAGTAGAATCCAGGCTTATGCTGGAGCCTGCATCCAATCTCAATCTCCTGCTTCCCATTTATGATGATCCCTGTTACTCAGACTCAGAAGTTACACAACAAAGTGATTACAAACATCTTAAAGTTATATGGCATCAGTTCCCTCATTTAGCCTAAGTGTCAGTAGCTTCCATTTTACCATCTAGTACTTCCATGGGATGTAGATGTTAGTGCATAAAAGGAAAAAAGCGGATTGCCAGGACAATGCATTTTGGCAGAAAAGTTTCACAATAGATTGCAGTTGCTTAGACAGGCTTTCTTCTAGAGGTGCACTGATGTAATCGGTCACATATCTGGTTGACACTGGTAACAGGAAAACGAATGTTATCAGCAATTGGCTTTCCAATAACATTACTGATAAATGCTGCATGCGTCCAGGTGCAAGATGCATACAAGCAAGAATGCAGCTGGGCAGTTTGGAGAACAGTGTCCTGCCAGAAAGTCTGGAGGTGGGAGGGGCAGAAGGGACAAACCCGGAAAGGAAGGGGCATGAGGGGGGTGGGTCAAGGCCCCCATGATAAGGGAGGGAGTGGGGGCAGGCACTGCCCAGCCAGGGCAGTGAATGCATCCCTGAAGCCAGGAGCAGGACAGAGTCACAGATAGCCTGTCCATGCGATGTGGGGGGGAAGGAGCTCCCCACCACAGCATACACCCTTGGGGGAGGCATGGGGGGCATGTGTGACCCCCCACCCCCTGATTTGTGTACAGGGCGAGGGCAAAGGCGGGCTGCGCCTGTGGGCTCAGGGCCAAGGGCTGCTCCAGCCTTTTCCTGGAGGGACGGCTAGGACAGGGCTGCACTTGGAATGGGCAGGGGTGAGATAGGCTCAGCTGCATGGGGTAGGTAGCAGCAGTGGCACTGGCAGAGATAGGTACAAGGGGGGCTACGGGGAATTTTTGGGTGACCATAGCCCCCCCAAGCCTCCCCTTAGTGCTGCCCTTGCTTGGAGCTATAGCCACCCCAAAATCCCCCATAGCCCCCTCGTAGCCACCCCTTCCAGTGCTGCTGCCCACCCGATGCAGCTGAGCCTGCCCTGCCCCGCCCACTCTGAGGACAGCCCCAGCCCAGCCTCCCCACCCGGAAGAGGCTGGCACAGCCTCTGGCCCCGAGCCCGCAGCCTGCCCTCACCGCACACACAAATCAGGGGAGGCATATGCCTCCTTTGGGGGTGTGCGCAGCAGTGGAGAGCTGCCCACCTCCCATGTCCCCTGGACGAGCCACCCGCAGCTCTGCCCCACTCCTGGCCCCAGAGTTGCATTTGCTGCCCTGGCTGGGTAGCACCTGCCCCACTCCCTCCTTCATTGTGGGGGGCCTCGATCTTCCTTACCACAGGCTTACTGGCAGGAGGCTGCTCTCTAAGCTGCTGGGCTGCATTCCTGTACATCAGCTATCAGATCAGTATTGGCCAATATGGGTGGTTAATAATCGGATATCAGTATCGGCCAAGAAAATCTTTATTGGTGCCTCCCTACTTTCTTCCTACCCCCTCTCCGTCTCCAGTATACCTCATGTCTGCCTGCTTTCTACTTTCTAGCAATTCCTCTTGGAACTGGCCAGTAACCAGGTTTCTGACATGCAGTAGGAACCAATGCATGCATTTCCTGGGTAGAAGTTTTTCCTTTTTCTACAATCTTCTTCTCCAGGTTCCCGGTGTGGAGGAATCACTCCCCGCCCCTCCCCGTCTGCCTCACTGCTGTAAGCAGGCAGCCACCCCCGCCACACACACACTTGTTTCATTTACCACTGAGCTGTGACTTGAGCTGGAGACAGTCCTGAGGGAGGGGGGACCTGCTCCCCTTGTCAGTTTCCCCACCACTGCAGGTCATGTGACTAGGCCCCTCACCTGGAAGGTGATGTTATTTGGAAACACCAGGCAGCAGCCAATGGGGCTGCTTCTGGTGGGAACTCAGTGATGAGGTCACAACAGGGTATAAAAGGGTCCCTATGAGGAATGGGAAGGGGACACATTTGGAAACATGGAATAAGCACATGGCCTCTGGAGAGCTTTCAGACTCCAGATGAACATGCGAGTAACTTACCTGAAATTTAGCCAATAAGTGTTCTAGAAGCATGTCAAAAGGCTACCACACTGCTTCTGTTTGCACAGAGGTATTCTTCTGATATTTCTCTGACTTGTACCTCTCTCCCAGCCTACACCCTCTACCCAATAAAGCTATTCTCTATAACAAGCTTTGTGGTACATGGTGGAGAGGGATTGGGCATACCTTTTTATTCCCTTAGCTCAGCTGACTAAGGAAGGCTACTTTCTATGCTTCAGGCTATAAGAAGCACCCAGATATATCCTGCTGGGGTTAAGCTACACCTAGGTCTACAGGGTCTGTGTATCCCAAGCAGCACAGGGCCCAAACAAAGACCTGAGTCCGGGCAGTGCTACACCAGGCTTGCGGGTGTGCTCCAGGAAGGGGGTCAGCTAGAAGTTGGCACCCCTGAGGAGGCATCCAAGGCTTGGTATTTGGCTGGGTGCATCAGCACAGCCTAATTATCTTTATTATATATTCAGAAGTGTTCAGGCAACCCAGAACCTTTGTGTACTCTGATCAGTGGTATGGAGTTGGTTAGGAATTCCCCATAAAAATACTTGACAGAAAGTTCATATTTTATGAGAACATTTTGATTTTACCATTGCTTTTCTTATTAGGTGAATGAAACAAGAACTATTTTGATTTAGATTAGGTCAACCACAAATCAAAACATTTCCATTTGTCAAACCAAACTATTAGTCTGACATGAATTAGTCTGCTTAAGCTATTGCCGTATCTCCTGCCCCCATTCTTTTGTATGGCCAAGTCCTTTTAAGCTCAGTTACTTCTCCCATGACACACCAGGATCTTGCTAGGGGTGCTCTGACTTTCATGTATCATGGGATCTGTAGTTTCACCAGGTAGCCCAGCCCATAGAAGAGAATCATAGAATCAATGAGTCGAAAGGGACCTAGAATGGGAGCACATGGTGCTCAAATTAAAAGTCTCAAGAGGCAGCACTACAGCTACCTCAAGAGAAAAGGCGCAGATTACTACTGAACTGAACCAAAATTAATGGTTTCAGTCCAGTGTTTTTTAAAAAAAATCTAAATAGAATGTTTCAATTCAGGTTCATCAAACCATTGATCCTATTGATCAGAAGTACTGGACCATATTATTTCAATTTTTTTTCCTGCACCTCTGTTCCCATGAACACAGTCAATATGTTAAAATCTGGAAATTTTGATTTTTGGCTAACTTTACTGTAACACCAGAGTGTTAGGAGATTCAAATGATGCTGGTTAATCTCTTATGAAACAAATCAAAAGCAAAAAGGGCTGTTAGAAATATCCCAAACCTGGGATAAACCAATATATTTATAATTTTAAATCCAAGGAATTTCATAAAGATAGACTTTATTTTTGTACACTGTAAATAGATACATACAATATAGAAGATAAAAAATATAACGATTTCAGTATTTCGTATAAAATCTAAACACATATGTATTCAAAGGGAAATATTTTAAGCCATTTCAGTAGTCATTTAACTCAGTAATTGAATGCAGTATTCCTTACTTTTTTTTTTTCAGACACTGGATGGGTTTTTAACCCATAAATCCCATTAAAGTATGCATGACAAAATTCCATTGATACCGTCTGAAAATTGATGGTTACATTTCTTTATTAAAAATCTTAGTGCACTGAGATGAATTGTGGTCTTCGGAAAAAAAATTCTTACTCCTCTGGCAATGCAGATGATGGCAATTTCAAAAGGCACTTGTGAATTGGACTATAGTCACTCAGGTCCACAGGTGTTTTAGATTCTCGGTATTGTATAATAGAAAATGCAATATATTTACATAATTTGCTTTAACATCTGTCATAGCTCCTTAGCATTCAAGTTATATTGCACGTCTAAAAATCGCATATGTGGTTGTAATAAACTAAATATATTTACACGTTGTGTTGGCTGAAGAACAAATGGATTGCTTTTCAGAATTCTGAGAATGAGCAGTGATTTCTAACACTTTTGCATTTTGCGATAAACAGAGATTATATCAAAAGGTATATTTTGCTTCTCAACTACCCTTCTTATCAATACATTTGGTCCTTTAATATATTCATTTTTATTTAAAGAATTATTATATCACAACTGATGTTGGTAAATAACCTGTCGACGTCTATCTGAACTTGCAGGAGTCAAACTAACCAGAATATTTAAATACATAAAAATTTAATTTCTTAAAGAAAAAGTAGCTTTGGAGTTTTGTGAAGTCTATAAAAAAATTGAATTTGGTATTTAAGACTCAGCAATACTTTAGAGTTCTATGGATTTTGCTAGGATAAATTATAACTTGTTAGGCATATCACATAATCTGGCTGAAAATAACTGTCAAAATACTAAATATTCCTTAAATGGTAAAGATAAAACTGATCAAGATTTAACATCATCTATCAAAACCAAAGTAGATATTTCCATGATCAAAATGTGAATCTCTCTTATCTTTTTGAAGAGAGACTAAAGTAAATGAACAAAACGTACAATAACCAAGATGTACAGGACCCAGAGGTAAACAGAAGAAAACCTGCTTTATAAATTTACAGATATGCTGATTTGAACAACACTGAGGTCTCAGGCAGCTGTCTCTCTCCAGAATGGAGCCACTATAAAATTTTCGATCCAAATTTGAAGAAGAAATGTTCCAAATGTGCGCTTGGTATAAGCCAATTCAGTGCAAAGCACTAGCTCTGATGAAATTTTGCTGATACTTATCTTTCCCTAAATTCCTGTTAAAACATAAGAGAGTTTGTATATAAAATGGATGCAATCATATATACATGTACACATACACCACCTACATATATCTATGCCTCAGTATGTTCTTGAATTCAAATTATGTTAGGCAGTCTGTTTGTACCAAATATTTTCTATTGTACAACTGGGATTTAGAAAATCAAATTTGAGAATGCGTGACATATCAGTAGTATTGCACAAGTGTCACCTTGGCCTTTCTCAGACAGCTTTTTATTCCATATAAATAGTCCTGTTTTAATTCCTGTCCCTAGAAACCAATTGTTTGTTTCAACAAGGAGAAGCTACTGGTGTGCAAAGCACATATTCTCCATTTTATCAGAATTAATGATATGATGGTGGAACATTTCTGTTCAAATAGGACTTAAAAAGCTCTGTTGATGGACTTACCACTGTCACAGTTTGACAGTACTGAAAGTTGGGAATGTTCAGCGGTGCACCAAACTCTTAAAAATACATCACTGGCAAACTTCTGATAAATTATAAAACTCTGCCAAGCAATGCTCAATGTTATTAGAAAGCGAATATCAAGAATTAAGGTTGCTTTATTACTATATACCTATATGATAAGAGGGGTCCATAAATGAATCCGTTAAGATGCAACTGCACTATACTTTAACATAAATACTGTATAGGTTAAATTACTGTTGCAATCAAATTTCTCAACAACCACATTTGCTTTTCTCTTTCTCCTCATGTAGCTGCTCTGTAGAGCTATGCCCATTTGAACGCACTACCCCTTCCGGTATCCATGACTTGTCCACACACCGTTCCATCCGCTTCATGATAAGATCAAGCAGAGTTTCAACTGCCTTGCTTACATTAGCTCCATTAGCCGCACTTGTTTCAAAATATGGTATTCTGTAAAAGACAAAATCGAAAACATTCTCTCATGTAGTGTGAGCTTTATAGAAACCAAGGAAATACGTGGCACTAGCCATGTGCCTAGACACCACAGAAAGGCTGCTTTTTAGAAGTCAGTGTAATCAAACCAAAAGATGACATGAAAAAGGCCCTGGCATGACAAGTGAAAGGGCAGCACCTTTGTGCCATCTCCTGTGTCCCTTATACCTGGAAAGCACTCCCTACAAACTTTTGCAAGGCTGCCCCATTGTTCACCTTCAAAACTTCTTTCTGCAATACCTACAAAACCCTTGACAAGGCTTAGGCTGCTGGTACAGTGGTGCACATGCTAACCAACATTGCCTCATTGTTTTTTTGTACTCCCACATCACTCTACATCCTCAGTTGGCTCTTGGTTTATACTTATATTATTTCAACCCTTTGTTGAAGGGTTTACAGTATAAACCAAAATAGAAGACCTTTGTGAAATGGGGCAAACTCCCAGGCCCAGTTACAACACTGGCCTGCCCATCTGTCTTTGGGCAAACTGCCCACCTTACTCTCCTGCCATGCCTTGATCTTAAATATGTAAAGAAATGGTACTAGGTGGGAGGCTGCCCTTTGAGTGCTCTGATGTCAAGGGTGGTTCTTACATGACTCTGAACTTCCCTTATGTCCCATGCCTTGCAGATGACATACAGTTTGTTACAGCTCCAAATTGAGGCCGAACCAAACTCATTTCAGTGTTAGGCCTCTTGCACACTACCCTGTTCTGGGCCACACTCACTCTGCCCCACTCTCACTGGAGCCTCTGACACTCCACCCACTCTCACCAGGCCTCTCTCACACTGCCCTGTTCTGGGCCACATATACTCCACCCTGCTCCCTTTGAGTGATCACGTAGGCCATCAAGCTTATTTCTTCACTCCTTGAGTGGCCCTGGCTCAGCCTTTTGGGTCTCTCCTGTGACCTTCATCTGAGTGGTGACCAGTCAATTCACCAAACTCTGGGCTGACTCTACCCCTAGTCCCTCACTGGGCCACTTCGCCCCTTCCTTAGGCCTACTCCCAGGTCTTACGCCCCTATACGGCTCAGGTGCTTCTTTATAAGCATCCCCGCTTGCTCTCACAATAACCTACCAGATGGTGGGGGCTGGGGTTAAGGCATCCCTACCTACCTTTCACCAGGGAGGTAAACTGGCCTGGCATTTCTTGAGGACTCCCTCACCACAGGGAGTCCCCACCAGGACACACTTCCCCAGCAGGGTGCAGTTTCCAGTTGTACCCAAAACCAGAAGCCTCCTGCTACCCCGACAGCTCCTGCTCTCACCTCTAAGGTGTTCTGGGAGCAACAGCTCAGCTGAGTGTTGTTGCTCTGGCTGCCAACAGCAGACTGCTGCTCCAGCCCTGAGAGCAAGGATTAAAAATGGCTGCCGCGTCAAGGCTGGCCTGCACCTGCCAGCTGCCTGCTCCCAGCCCTTAAAGTGACAAGCACCCAAAAGGTGCTGTCACACCTTTGTTGAAGGGTCTCTTTTTGTCCTGCACATCTAAAATGCCTAGTAATGATGTCCTGGTCCATGACTGGAGCTCCTACACATTTTGGTTATTATTACTGTTAAAACAAGGAGTAAGGAGATCACAACACTTAAGATGTTAAACTAATGCCGTTTGCTCAGTATTCTCCACATGGTGGTGCTCATGAGGCTTTATTATTTAAGTGTCATCCTCTCACATCAATATACAAGATATTAATTATGTCTGGCACCTATCCAGTTGTCTTCCTTGCCTTTTTTTGAACACTACACTATAATGTTATACTATACTATTATACTATAATGCAAATATTAAATAATACCTGCTTCAGAAGAGAGAACCATATTTTTAAAGCAGAGTTAAACCTGCTGGAAGCTACAAATGCAACTCCCATTTACATGAATTTCATTAGCTACCAAGCTGAATCAAGTTGCTTTCCCAGTTTTAATATTCATTTTAAAGCTTATAAAATTTTTATGTTTAAAAAACTAAGGACTTGCTGGTTATTTCGCTCCCATTTAAAATAGATAATTGTAGCCAAACAGCTCACAGGAGAAACACAGGAACTGCCATTTCTGATTAGACCTAGAGTTGATCTTCTAGTCCAATGGCGACTCTGCCAGTGGGTGGATGACAAATGTTTCAAAAGGATGGAACCCCTAAATGGTTTATTACAGAATAACTTTCCCACTGCAAAATTTTTTTTACTTTCTGTTACTTAACAATTGGTTTGAGTGTTCCCTTTCTAAGAAATACAGTAAAAGCTTTGTTATCCAGCATGAGTGGGGTAAGAGGGGTGCTGGTTACCTAAAAAATCCACCCTGCCCCATGCAGATCCTTTTTCCTTCCCCCTGCCCCCTCCCCCGCAGACTTTCCTGCTTGGGGGGGCACGTGAGTGCATGCACAGCACCCCCCCAAAAAAATTTCCTCCCTCCGCCTATGCAGGTATCAGCTAGAAGGGCTTCCAGCAGCTCCTCCATCAGCAGCATCACTAACTACTGTAAACAACACAAATACTTGATGTGCATGCCGGATAGACTTGGCAAAGATTCCGGCTGCTAAAGTGAGGATTGGTATCTGGGGATATTGGAAATTCCAGTTAATAGAGTATTCTGGTTAGTAAAATGCCAGTTAACACAGCTTTTACTGTATCTAATGTTTATTTTAACTCTTTTTCAATTTAATTCAGTTTCCACCAACAGTTTATCCTTATACCCAGGAAAAAGAGTGGGGGATCTCTCCAAAGTCCACTGCAGAAAGAACAAATGCAAGAGAAATTTTAACTTTTCTGCAACGTTCTCCTTGCCCCTCCTCTACTGCTCCTGTTCCTCTCTACCAGTCCAGACAACATTCAGTCTCCCAGAACATTTGATACATGCGACAAACTTTAGTTATTTAAGTAAACTTTCAAAAAGTTGTGCTCCAGGGCAAAGATGGATATTACCTTGATTTATTCCAATTATTCTTCTGACACAAGAGGTAAACAGAGCAGGAATTCATTTGATAAAATTTAAGGGGATGTGTATACTAAAAAGGTAGAATTTCCCTTTTTATTTTCCTCTTTTGCTCCAAAATCCTTCCTAGTACATTCTCATCCACAAATCCAGCATTTTACTCCAATAAACAGGCTACATATTAGCAAAGCCTGAGATTTTCCCTGCTGAGAATAATATTGAAAATTTCAGGTATCACTTCACCCAAATCCAAGTAGTTAATGGCTTTGTCTAAGACAATCACTACCACCCTCCACTGTTTTCTAGAGAACTGAATATGTAAACAGTTCTTTTCCATCTCTGCATGCAACTCGTTACCAATTTAGTTGCCTTGGCATATAGAGATAATATTGAATTTCTGAACCAAATGCTTACGTCCCCTAAGATGTCTTTATAGGCCTGAATCTGAAAAGAGCTAAGTGGCTCTCTATTCACAAGCATGCTGCTTAGTAACAATGAAAAGACATCCTCTTTTCCTATAGTGCTCTTCCTGTTCAAGCAAAGACAGGAACTAAAAGGTGGGTAGGAAACAAGTTGTGTCTAATGCAGCTAGCTCATTAAGCCTAAGTACAGGTAGTCAAAATGCCTGAGGCTACATTGACTCAATATTCGCAGGTTAATCCAAGCTGCATAGATTGAACCAATAAGCAAGTGAACAGAAATTCACTTTTGAAACCAGAAACGCAGCCACATGCCTGCAGTGGCTCAGGCTAAAAGTTGTGGGGGGAAGGGAGGCAGGGTGCTAGGGCATGCACCTCCCTGCTCAGCTGGAGCAGACAGCTTCAGCCAAAGACGTAAGTTCAATAAACTAATTTAACCTAAATCAGTTAGTTTGATACTACATCCACCCAGGTTTATCTTAAACCAGTTCTGGCCATTCTGAAAGTGGTTTACGTGTACTGAACTTTTGTTGTGTTACAGATCTGAACTAGTTTCCAATTTCTGTATAATTTCTGTCCTTGGCCTAAAAGAACTACCTTGAGGGGGGCAGAAAAGTCATGGATCAAGCAAAGGACTTTACTTGCCTGGGCAGGACATCTGAATCATGCCGGTCACAATTTAAAGTAAGATATAACCGGAAGATCTGCTCCATTCCCTGAAAGACCCCACATGCAGAAAGTGGCTTCAGTTCCAGCCCCTGATGTTACCTGCTACCATGCAGACTGACAAAGCAAAAAAGAGCTTCAACTTCTACCCAGTTTGCCTCTGGTGTCTACCCTTCTTTTTTTCAACTCCCTTTCTTGCAGGAAATCAATCACCATGTGCTGGTCCCAGTAGCACTTGGTAATAATTGAAAACACAGCACGGCTCTTACCCTGTCCTAGTTTACACCACCTCCTGTGTCACATTCAGCTTTGCATTGCCCAATTCAGTTGTTCAAAAACAATGAAAAATAGTACAAGAGTGGGGCCACTCACTTAAGACTCAGGAGATCTGGTTTCAGGTGTCTCTGCCAGAAGCTTCCTGGGCAAGCCTGAACATGTCAAACTTGGGTTTTTAAAGGTATTCAGGTGCAACTTCCATTAAGATCAAGGGGAATTTAGTGCCTACCTGCTCTTCCAAATCTGCACCTTAGCCAATCAGCACCCATCTGTAAAACAGGGATCCTAGCACTTCCCTACCCCAGTGTACAAGGATAAATACACTGAAGAGTGAGAGGGAGGTACCACTGCAATGGGGGCCACTTAAGTATGATATAGAAGATATCAGTTTGAGACTCAGTGCTCAATGCCAGTTTGAACTCTCTCTTTCCCTCTTCTCCATGCACATAAATTTAAAGAAATTAATTGGAGCAGTATTCTTGTTGTTTATGTATTTTTTTCTTTTTAATATGTACAACTGCAGGCATTTGGATGCTATAGTGTGTGTTAAACATTGAAGTGTTGGAAGGAAATGCTGGATTCTTGTGGGCAATTAAGAATGACACAGTGATTCATGATATAGTTGAAATGTAAACCACAGAATTATCTGATTGTAAAACCAAAAAAAAAGTTTATTTTCTTATGTTCATAAGAAAAGCGATACATTAGTTACAGCATCATGGTGATTATGTTATGCTTTCTTATAGATGCATTCTGTGAGGAAATCCTTTGCATTGAAGTGCTTTCAGGATTTCCAGAAAATATGCCTTTTGTACTGACTACTAAGCAATGTACGTGCTACCTGGAAGTTTCCATTATACTAAATGTCTTCTGCTCAGTGCTGACCCAGTGTGAAGGAACAATTGGAAGGACTTAGGGTTAGGGTGGACAAGGTGGAAGCTGCCTGACAAGTGCTTTGAATGACTTCCATAGAGTCACAGAATCACAGAAAATTAGGATTGAAAGGGACCTCAGGAGATCATTTAGTTTAACTCCCTTCTTAAAACAGGACCATCTCCACCTATATCATCCCAGACTTTCATGTAGGTATGAGGGGTGAAAACCCTGAAATCATAGGGAAAAAGAACCTCATGTATTAGTACAGCTATAGCTCTATCACTATTTATTTAGGTACCATCACATACACAAAGCAATTACAAGTGGGATTTTTCAAGTCACATGTATTGCTCCCCACCTGATATCTATAACATGTCAATGTCCATATTAAAATGCACACACACACAAATAGTTCTTGCTTATATTCTATTAAATTTATGAGATTCAGTTACTGCTCTTCAAAAATGTTAAGTGTTAAATAGTAAAATTATCATTGTGCCTGGTTCCCCTATACTCACATGCCAAATGCAGTATCTGTTGATATAGGCATTTCCAGGGAGAAAAATGTCAGTAGTACCACCCAGTTCTGTTAGTAGCAGCAGTAACTCATTCACCAAAGCATTTTCTTCCCTTATTGTGTTCTAAGAAATAAGGACAGGCCTATTTGAAGTTATCTTTCCTCGTACACTCAGGTCTGAGTACTGTATAGGAAGCCTGAGCTCCTTCAGGGCCCAGGGCAGGGCAGAAGTAGGCTGAACACAGGAAATGGAGGGGAAGGAGAGCACGGGTGAGAGAGGCAAGGAGAGCAGAGTCCTGGTTCTCACCCCATTTAACACAACTACTGCTGCAGCAACATTAGTTCGGGCTACAATTGTCCTTGTGTAACGGGCTCCCTAGGAGCTGCCACTGGTGCCTTGTTTGCTCCCCCTAGCCCCAGATACGGTATTGGGCACAGGGCTCTACCTGCTGTGGCAAAGACTCCCTAGAAGAGTGCCACTCCACTTGCTCCCTGCTCTCCAGACACCCTGCTGGGTGCAGGGCTGAGCCTGCCTAGCTCCTACGGCTGAACAGTATAGGGTTGCACCTGCCATGGCAAAAAATTCTGAGGGTCCCATGGGGAGGGAAGAGGGGGAAGCAGGAGGAGATTCTGACACTCTCTCATAGTTGTCACCTAGGGCTAGTGCCCTGATGACCGCTGTCCGTAGTTATGCTATTGAGAGCAGCCCAACCAGCGGAATATGATCTATAAATGTGTCTGATCTATAAATTAGACTTTGGGGTTTTCATTTTCTACCTTGACCAAGTTGGTATTTTGGCCACAAAAGTAAGCATTTGTTCTTATGGAAGTAATGTAATTTATGAAGCAATCTACAGAAATATTTCAAAAATAAAACAAATGCCACCTGGAGCTGTGTGGACAGAACCCATATTTCCATTCTCCTTATAAACTACAAGCAATCATATGGTAGTTTGAGTTTAGTGCTATGCAAGTAACATTATACAAAATGGAAAAGAAAAAAAAGGAAAGAAGTAACATTGCGTGGAAACCCATCTCATCTGTAAGGGGCTAATGGCCCATAATGCCAAAAGGAGACAGTTTCCAGAACTCATTACTCTGTTCAGAGAAGGCAAATGGAATGCATGAAGGAGTCACTGGCAAACCATAAGAGAGTCCCAGAAAAAAGCAATTGTATGCAAGAAAGGTACAAAAAACCTGGTCCAATGTTCCTTTAATAGCCTAGGACCTGATGTCTTGTAATATGGATAAGCAAGGCTCCACTTTTCCCCAGATAAAATCTAAAAACCAAATGTGTGTTTACTCCCATAATCTTTCCCACAGTCTAAACAGGAGTGGGGACAAGGCCTACTTGGGCTTAGAGCCTCCTACTTAGGCCAGTGGGGAAAGAAGTCAATTAAGACAAGAGGAAGGCTGTGAAGGCTCTGAACTTGTGGGAAAAGTTTATGGAGTAGGAGAGGTGAACACTAGAAGCACGTGGCCAGAAAAGAAAGGTTGTGAAATCTGGATCTAAAATGGAGCCCTTCTGGAGCAAGTTGGCAGGTCTGAATACATTATGCTGGTTTTCACATCTTTCCTGTGAATGGAGTATTCTTGGAGCTTGGAGGCAAAATGGGGCAGGGTGCTTCAAGGACCATTCAAGGCCAGAAGAAAATGCTGTAGGACAGCATCCATCTAAACCATCCTAATGGTCAGGATTGACAATTTTTGTGGTTGTTTGATTTTTAAAAAGAAAATAAATAATAATAATAATAATGCCACAGTTTAGTCTTGCCTTTCTTCAAGAGTTTGACCCAATATAAAAATCACATTTTTGTGACTTTGGTCAACATTCTCTTGGGTTTCATTCCACAAGATACCACATCTGGATATTGTAAATTAGCCACATTAGAGGCAGGATCATAGTAATAAACATGATTTATTATGCGTCTCCACTGCTACTAAAATTAATTGCATTTTCCAGAAAATTAGTAAGAGGCAGGGGAAGAGAGGGTCACAAAGATGCCTTCCCCTATGCCACAGAACTGCTCAGTTAGCTAATGTGTCCCTCTGTCAAACACAGGATACTAGACCACATGGTTCCTTATGGTATTCTAACATGGTTATTTGCACAAGAGCCTTTCAATACATTATGCAACACAACAGACAAATAAAGAAACACACTTCATTTTGTTTAACCGCACTGGTAACTGGAAGGAAGTTACTTGCCCATATTTTTCTGCAAGTTCCTTTGCCTCTTCTTCTTTCACAGTTCTTTGGTCTTCCAGATCACTCTTGTTTCCACATAGCACAATATCAGGGTTTTCACAATACGCGTGCGTTTGTAACTGGCCTAACAGCAAAACAATGTTCGCATTATTATTTTATACAGAAAGATCACTTAGAACAGCAGGCAGCAACATTTCTGGACAGAGTGCCAAACACTCCTGCAGCCTCAACTTGTAAGATGCTGGCATGCCAGAGGCAGACAGCAAGGGAGCCATGAGGGGCCCAATCCCTGTTATGGCAGCACAGCCCCAGCCCCTTCCCTGCTAGCCACCCTGAGGCATGCATGCCAAACAAAATTCCTTTTAGTGCCATGCCAGAGTTGCCTACCACTGAGTTCAAACATAAGTGCCGTTAAAAAGTGACACCAAAAACTTTAGGAAAATTATTCTTAAAAGATATGAGGGGAAAAATACTGCCAATTTCATGGTGGTTTGCTTTTCCAAACTCTTTTTTTTTTTAAATCACTACAGATAGGTGTACAATAGTAAGGCTTTTTCTACTTTCCAGTTCATCAGTTCTCACTTCTTACTCTACCTTTCTATACTAGATACCTTTAAGACCCCTCTGCAAGAAGCAGAGAAGAGCTCTCATTCTCTTTCTATGCATAGGAGCCTGATTGAGTCAGTGTGTGGACAAATGTAACTTCTGAAGGGCTTTATATGCCTTTGAAACACTGCAAATGGTAAGTGGACAGATACATGCCCTCTGAAGTGTTCCAAAAATGGCTGAAGTGCTCCAAAAATAACCCTGCAGAAAATAGTTACTATTCAGAAAACACTTCAATAGCAGAGGAAGGGCTGAAGGGCAGGGCAGACTGCTCTGGGAGAGCACAGGTGGAGCATACAAGAGAGCACTCACTGATAGTCTGCTCCATTTTTTTCCCCTCTCAGGAGGGCAGGACGCATGAGGGAAGAGGAGCAGAGCCCACTGTTTCACCCCTTGCCTGGAGGGCTCCAGTGCGTCAGCCTGGGGGTACAACAGGGACCTATACCTCTAAGATTTTCCCTAACCTTCTAGAGCAAGGTTTTCCAGTGGGGAGACAGAATGAACTAGGTTAGGTACAAGGAAGGTTGGTGCTAGGACCCAACCACCATCACTGCCATTTCTCCCCCCACCCCGGCAGTAGCACAGTACAGGCAAATCACCCAGCCACCTGGCTGTGATGTAGTGCAGACAAAGCCCCCACTGCCAGAATGCCAATACAGCCCCTGCTGCAGAATACCAAAGCCCTGAGGCTCCACAGGCCAGATCCAATGGCTCCATGTGCCAGATCCATCCCATGGGCTGTAGGTTGCTAACCCCTGCTCTAGAGGTTCATTAAATGTTTATTTCTCCAGTGATTATGTTACTTGGAGGGCAGGAGGTTACCATATAGTAGTAACTACCTAGCATCTTCTGTATTCAGTATGTATAGCTCTTACTGCAAAGAGACAATTTTAGCTGATTTTGTGTGCATTATTTTATACTGAACAAAGCATCTCCACCAAAGCCTGTGTGGGATGATAACCAGTATCACCTATTACTTTCCCTGACACTAATGGTTTTGTTTGGACAATAACCTCCAGAATGCCAAGGTTCAAACTCACTGCATCTGTGCTGAGGATTAACTGGTACTGAGCTGTCGACAATGGGAAAGGCAAAGTTCTTTATGCCTGATCTGCTGAGAAACCGTCAATTATTTCCTATCTAACAATCCCCAACCCAAGCCTGATGCCACACTCCCAATCCAGCCCAGCCATCAAAGCTTCAGGTGAATCAAGACAGTGTTTCAAGTTGGCTGATTTCAGACTTAATTGCTGCACATCACCTGATTTCACACTGCACCCTTAACACCAGGGGCCCAGAATTATCATGATGGATCTTATGTGAAAGGAAATTCAAGTTAAGAAAGCTGAACTGCAGAAAATCGTTGGAAGTCAGCTTCACTAACAGTTTCCTACAAGAAAAGCTGTAACACCCATTTTGTTCTTTCCTGAAAAGCTTTCAGTCAAATATTCTTAGTCTTGTTCTCTCTCAGTGGAGTTCGGAATCTACAAACACAGGACTAAAAAGAAAAAAAAAAGGTGACATACTTAACCAGTTCCTGACATTGAGGAAGCTCTGCTCATTTGTCAGATCGAAGAGTAAAAGAAATCCCATGGCATCTCTGAAAAAAGCTGTTGTCAAGCTACGAAACCTAGACATGGAAAGCAAAACTACTGTTGGTTTCCCTTCTGTAAGGTCCATCTGTCACAACAGTTATTTTGAGAATATGATCATAATATTAAAAAAAACAAAACAAACCAATAACTGGGAAAACCTAAAATTCAACTGTACTGATCACATTTGTTTTCTCTTCATGGAGAAAATCCTGACCCTGAACTGCTGACGTAGCAATGAGCTTAGTCCACACCTCAAAGTCAACATACAACTTTCTATCAGTATCCATGAGCTTTGGATCAAGCCCTGTATTATTTAGCTCATTTTTATCAACTTCCATAAAGCATCTAATTGAAAAATGAAGTTCAAGCAACACTGAAATTCATGACTGTATATTTAAATCCATCATTTTAAAATAGTCAAATCTAAACGCTTAGGCCTACTAACACACAATTGGACTCATGAGGAACATTCCCAACTTCGCATTTTAATCTGAAGAGATATTGCCCAAGGTGTTCAGGACACAAACTTGATTGCCTGAGTGCAGAATATTATAGCAGTGACTTTTAGGAGCCATAAATTTGGTCTTTGCAAACAAAGGGAAGAATCCTGCATCTTTACTTCACTCTTGAAGTCAATGGAAGTTGTCTACCTAAGAACTAAGGACTTCAGAATATGACCCACAAATAAAACCCCAACTTTTGTCTCGGAAGTCTGTACAGTAGTATAGATATAAATTCAAAAGCACAGAATAATATACAAGAACCTCAATAGTTATTATTCAAATAAGCAATAGCAATGTTCAGGGCCCAGTACTAGCCCAAAGTAGGCTCCCTACAGAACTTAATAAAAGCCTCAAGAAAAGTCCAGGTAAATAAAACCAAACTTGCAGTGCAGGCTTTTGTTCTGAACTTATGGCAGTCATGGGATTTCAGTATCCTCAGGATAGAGAGAGAGACAGAAGGAAAGAGAGAGTAGGGGGAGGCAAGAGAAATGATGAATTTAGTTAGATAAATGGAAGATGCAAGAGGTGAGGGGTGCTAGAAAATATATAGAATGTGGCAAAATTAAAATGTTGTGCACCAGGAAAAAACCCCATAGAATTTGTATCCAGAGTTTAGACACAAAATCCAAGAGAACTGGGGTATTTATGACTGCAAGTCCAATTCATTTTATGGAATAAAATCTCTTTCATTTTATGTAAGGTTTGTACCTTTCTTGCCCTGCAGTGTCCCACAGCTGAAGATGTATCCTCTGTCCTCTGCCACTAATGCCATCTGGCCCACTGGCTCTATACACCTATAGAAAACAAGACAGAAGTGTTAATATTCAAGGATCAACAACACAGCACACACGTGCTATTTAAATAATACCACATTCAACTTTAATGCCAACAATTATCTAATGCGGGGCACTCATCCCTTGCCCTGCAGGCCAAATCCAGCCTGTAGAGCTGTATCATCTGACCCGCAGGCCTTCCCAAAGGGTCTGGAAATTTGGTGACAGGAGAGCAGTGGCAGTGTTAAATTGCCACTCCTCTGCTGCCAAATTTCCAGACCCATCGGAAACCCCATGGGCTGTATATAATGGCCCTGCATGCAGCAGCAAGGTTTTCCAGTGGGGGGACAGAATGAACTAGCTTAGGTACAGGGAAGGTTGGTGCTAGGACCCAACCACCATCACTGCCATTTCTCCCCCCACCCTGGCAGTAGCACAGTACAGGCAAATCACCCAGCCACCTGGCTGTGATGTAGTGCAGACAAAGCCCCCACTGCCAGAATGCCAATACAGCCCCTGCTGCAGAATACCAAAGCCCTGAGGCTCCACAGGCCAGATCCATCCCATGGGCTGTAGGTTGCTAATCCCTGCTCTAGAGGTTCATTAATCACTGGAGAAATAAACATTTATGTTACTTAGAGGGCAGGAGGTTACCATACAGTAGTAACTACCTAGCTTCTTCTGTATTCAGTATGTATAGCTCTTATTGCAAAGAGACAATTTTAGCCGATTTTGTGTGCATTATTTTATACTGAACAAAGCATCTCCACCAAAGCCTGTGTGGGATGATAACCAGTATCACCTATTACTTTCCCTGACACTAATGGTTTTGTCTGGACAATAACCTCAAGAATGCCAAGGTGCAAACTCACTGCATCTGTGCTGAGGATTAACTGGCCCTGCATGCCATACTGTGTTGGTGTGTGGCCAGATCCAGCAGGCATGTGGCAGAAGGCTAGACTGGGACAGCAGGTAGCATGAAGCCAGATCAGGGCAGCGTGGAATTGGGACCATGAGCCAACCTCATGCCAGATCCAGCAGCTTATGGACCAACCCTGCACCACTCATCTAGTTCACAGGGTTAGAAGGTTGGGTCCCACTGATCTAATGCACTGTAAATCCAAATGTCAAAACTACAAAGCATTCACAGTGTATTTTAGGAGGCTGGGTATAGATCTACATTTCAATTCCACCTTATTTGAATTGAAGATTATCTAGTGAGAGAGGATAAAATGTTTCCAATAAATTAAACATGTTCTAAAACAGAGAAAGAAAGTGGTCATTGATTTTCATTAGGCAGCCTTGAGGCTTTCTATTTTTACTATTACTTTGGTGTCCTGTTCAAATTAAAAAACAATTTAAAAACACAATCAGAAAATGCAATCTAGCAATATATTTGTACCAACAACAGAAACGCATTAGTGAACAGACTATGCTCATGCAGATGACCACTATTCTACTTAACTACCACAAATTTGCTGAAAAGGAATCTAATACAGACTCTTTCATTTTATGGCTTATAAAAGCAGGACCTGCACACTAATAATAAAAACTGAACAGTTTATTTAGCATGGACATGTAAATAAAGACATCTGCTAGGTATGGAGAGGATCAAATGAAAATAATGTCAGTAATTGTCTAGAAAATCTCTCAATCTGGGTTGTCTTCTGCTCTTGCTATAGATATTACTATGACTCTTATCTTAATAACAAAATGGGTTTATAAACAGTTTCACTGGCACAGAATGTTGTAATGGGATGATGCTCAACAACACTTATGAAATATGTATATCAAGACAAATTCATCATGTTTATGGTTAAAAAAAGACATGTTGATGTTTTTCAAGTGGTCTGTTTTGTTTATTGGTTTAGGACAGTCACTGACATAAGACTCATCCATTAGCAGAAAGTTTGCACAAGACCAAGGAAAAACCCTTGTTATTTAGGTATGTTGGCCGTGGGACAAGTAACCCACATAAAGTGACTGCTGAAACATCTCTGAAGCCTGTGCATACTACAAATATGGGCCCTCTGCCAACTTTGATTGAAGATGTGCAGCATGGAACAGCAGTATATTGGTTAAGGTAATGTGTTTTTTTAGTGTCTCAAAGAAAAGATTTTTCACCTATTTCAAACAAAACTGTTTGGGGAAAAAAAGTAAGTAAAAGGAAGAAGAATTCTGCAGATGTCATTCAAAGGACCTGTTGAATACATTTATTTTAATTATTTTTATTTTAGTTTCATATTTTAGCTGGCAACTGCTTAGGAAAAACTTGAAAAGATAATTTTGTTGTACTTGAAGTGAAAAAAGAGACAGAACTTGCTCACCATCATCCCACCATATTTTTAATGGAGTGCAATAAATACAGCAATGTTCATTTAATGATCCAGTTCAGTTTTTAAAAGCACCAGGCAGATATTTATTTATGGTTAGTGTTGCAAGTCTTCCTTGTGCGGAAAGTGCAGTGATATGCACGGGGTGAAATGCAACCTGTTTAAATTCGCTGATGATACCAAAATTTGGGGTGAGGTGAGCACGCTAGTAGGGAGGGAAAGACTGCAACAAGACCTGGATAGGTTACAGGAGTGGGCTGACATAAACAGGATACGTTTCAATACTGACAAGTGCAGGGTGCTGCATTTAGGCAGTAGAAACCAGCAGCACACTTATAAAATGGGAAACTCCCTTCTTGAGAGCACGGAGGCAGAAAGGGATCTTGGAGTCAT